GGGCCACGAACCGGGTGAGGGGTGAGCCAGAATGGGGCGGGGCCGCCATGCGAACCCTGCCACTGGGGCCTTCGGCGGAGCTTCCTATTGGGCCGCGAACCTTGTGAGGGGTGCGCCAAAATAGCGCGGGGCGGCCATGCGAACCCTGCCACTGGGGCCTTCGGTGGAGCTCCCTATGAGGCCACGAACCGTGTGAGGATGGGCGCGGTTGTGCCATGCGAACCCTGCCACTCTGGCCTTCGGTGGAGCTCCCTATGGGGCCACGAACGGTGTGAGGGGTGCGCCAGAATGAGGCGGTGGTGCCATGCGAACCTTGCCATTGGGGCCTTCGGCGAAGCTCCCTATGAGGCCACGAGCCGTTTGAGGTGTGCCAGAATGGGGCGGTGGTGCCATGCGAACCTTGCCACTGGGGCCTTCGGTGGAGCTCCCTATGGGGCCACGAACCATGTGAGTGGTGCGCCAGAATGGGCGCGGGGTCGCCATGCGAATCTTGCCACTGGGGCCTTCTGCGGAGCGTCCTGTGGGGCCGCGAAACGTGTGAGGGGTGTGCCGAAACAGAGACATGCGGAGGGCAGAGGCAAGGAGGGGGAGGAGGGAGGAGGGAGGGAGGGAGGGAGGGAGGGAGGGAGGGAGGGAGGGAGGGAGGGAGGGAGGGAGGGATGGAGGGAGGGAGGGAGGGAGGGAGGAGGAGAGGAGGAGGAGGAGAGGAGGAGGAGGAGGAGGAGGAGGAGGAGGGGAGGAGGAGGAGGAGGAAGGAGGAAGGAGGAAGGAGGAGACGCGCCGCACCGTCTCTTCAAAACGAGGACCCAACACCGCAGGATGGTTGGGAAAAACATGCCGTCGGAAACCTGAAATCGTTCACCCTCACCCCCGCCTATTTGGGAGCGGGAGGTGGACCTCAGTGGGGGTTAAGATGCAGGCGAAGTGGGCTCCACCTCTTTGCGAAGTTCTCCACTCCCCCGACCACTTAGGGCAATGCAGCCCACTCATCGGCCAGGTGAAAAGTCCAGACAGATAACCCCGTTCGAGCTTCCACTTCTAACTTCCCTGTGCCACCCTCCGCGCTGCTCCAAGCATCTTCCCCTCACCCCCGCCACGCATCTCGTCGGCACCACCCAAACACACTTCTAGTTTATGTGCGTCGGCCGCCGCGCGATGGCAACGCGCACGCTCGGACATCGTGTAAGCACAAGCTCCGTGGCGGGCGCTCTCTGGCCATGACGCTCGGGTAACTATATTCGCCATCGGAGGTTGGGGAGTGAGATCGAATTGGAACGGAGAGCCCCCTACCGGGAAGTCGGTTTCGGTCTCGGATTCGTGAATGCGTGTGGTCAAGGCGAAGTTGCGCGGGCGGGCGAGAGTAATGACCTTGCTTTGGCTACGGCGGGACAAGATAAAAGACCGCTCGCTCCTCCGATGGGCCGGCATGGCCAGGGGTGTCCCGCCGTGGTGTCCTGCCGTGGTGTCCTGTTGGTGGCCGCGGCGATGGCCGGGGGTGTCCAGCCGGCGTTCCGTCGGTGTACCGTCGGTGTCCCGTGGGTGTCTTGTCGGTGTCCCTTTGGTGTCCCGTTGGTCTCCTGTCGGTGCCGCGTCGGTGTCCCGATTGGTGCCCCTTTGTTGCCCTGGTGGTTTTTCGATGGTGCCTTCGATGGTGTGTCTCCGATGGTTATGACTGTGGCCCGATCGTGTCCAGATGGTTCCCAGTGAGATCCATAATGGGACTTTGAGAGATGGATTCGACGTGAACGGGAGACTGAGATCGATAGAGTGAGATCGATAGTGAGAGCGGTGGTGGTTCCGTCCCCCCCCCCATAACTTCCTCACCACCCGGGGGGTAGTTGTATAGGTAAGATATGGGCGACGCAAAAGACGGATCCAATTGCGCTGACATTGGCGCTCAAGCTGGCCGCGTTAGGCCGCGCGTATTCGCCCTCGCTTCGAATGTGGCCTGCCGCGCGGGCGGCCCGCGTAAGGTCGCCACTTTATCTCGCGTAAGATCAGTCTTCGATCGTCGCTCATACGTGTACGGTAGGTTCGCGTCGTGTCGGCTGGCGGCGACCCCGCCGCCGGCGTTCAACATCGAATACCAGTGGCGGCCCAGAATCGGTCGATGTTGAACAATCGGACGTTGGGAGAGCGGCCGATCATTCAAGGTTGAACGATCCCCGCGGTGTCAGGAACCACCGCCGAAGTCGGCACGACACGAACTTGCCTGAGCTCCTCGCTCCTTCCGGGAGGAGGAGTCGAGGAGGAGGAGGAGGAGAAGGAGGAGGGGAAGGGGGAGGAGGAGGGAGGGAGGAGGAGGAGGTGAGGAGGAAGGAGGAGGAGGAGGCGGAGGAGGAGGAGGAGGAGGATGCAGCAGCGTGCGCAACCAGGGGGGCCGTGCGCCCCCCCGGCCTATCGGCGAGGCCACGGGTCGCACGAGGCCGCCCTGGCCGAGGCCGTCGCCGGCATCTACGTGGCCAAGCTGGTGGCCGTGGCGAGCAGCGGGGCGGCGGAGGAGCCAGTCCTCCTCCCCCTCCTCCTCCTCCTCCTCCTCCTGCCCTCCTCCTCCTCCTCCTCCTCCTCCTCCTCCTCCCCTCCCCCCTTCTTCTCCTCCTCCTCCTCCTCCTCCTCCTCCTCCTCCTCCTCCTTGTCCTCCTCCTCCTCCTCCCCCTCCTCCTCCTCCTCCGCCACCTCCTCCTTCCTGCTCCACTTCCCCCTCATTCATTCCTCCCCCCTCTTTCCCCCGCCCCCCCCTCCTCCCTCCTCTGGCGCTGCCCCGTTGGTGCGTCGCCGGGTCACCGAGAAACGCCATAAACAGCAACTTTTTGCGCTCCGCGCGGGTTTCTTGGATTCGCGCTCTGCCCCCCCCCCCAGCAGTGCCCTCTGGCGCCGCCCCTGGCGCCGCCCTTGGCGCGGACGGCCAACAGTTCATGTTTATGCTTGTTTCTTGCCCTAGCTCCACTACTTACAAAGGGATGTCCGAAAAAGCACATGTCTGCCTCGACGTCAGGTATCGCAAATCCCCCGCGGTGGATCCAGGTCATGTGCCAGCAGATACTTTGCGAGTGGTGGAACGCGCTTGTCTAGACGGCGGCCACCCCAGACACGATCGCGCGTCGTGAAAAGATCACGACGGTGGGCTTTTGGCTATGTTCGGCCTCTGGGGGCCCTCGCTGGGCCCCAGGACCGTCAAAAAAGCGATTCTGGATTGACCGTCCAAAAGGCCCCCGGGGAAAGGACCGCGCATTGCAGGAAAACATGGATCGTCGCATGTTTGAACGACTTCCTCTGCGCAGACCCCCCGAGATCAAGCAGTGACGAAGCGTCCTGGCGTGCTTATAGGCCTACCAAACAATGTTCTAAGAACCTTTTGAGGTTTGCACGAGATGTACTTAGAACATTTCTGGCTGGCATGTCTTGATTCAACACATTGGGAACATGTTCTGAGAACATGTGTTGTTCTTCGAACATTTGGGGGGTCGAAGAAAATTTCGTGGTAGGACTAGGAATGGCGGGACGGTCGGTCCCTGCTCAACGAGAGGCCGCCGGCGCGGCCTCGGACTCGGGCGACGAGTGGGCGGGCGCGGCCGAGGCGGCGCGCCTCGCCACGCAGGGGGCCGCCGCGGGGGCGGCCGGCAGCGGCCCCGGCGCGGAGGAGCGGCCCCAACGGCCAGCCACGGTTCGGAACGGGCCCCCGCAGTCGAAGAAGAGCAAACGGCATAAGCATTCGGCCCGGACGAAAGCGGGGGATAGGGAAAGGGGGGGGTACGAAATCTGCTGCGTGCAGCTGGTTTCGGCCCCGCCGCCGGGCCATCGCCGGGAGGCGCCGGGAAGATCAACCACGTGAGCTGATTCTCAAACCCCCCCCCCCTTTCGCCCGGCCCGAATGACTGTGTTGGCACTCCGCGCGGATGGTATTGGATACGGGCAGGGCGCCGCCTTTGGCGCGCTCTCGCGCGCCAGGGCGCAGCCCGCGCGGAGCCTCCAGAGTTTATGTGTATGTTTTCTTCTTCTTCTTCGGACCACAGGTCTGCACGCACGAAACGGGTACTGAAAGAATGGGTACAATGCCCAACAGCGGATCTTGTTCATTTTGAACAGGGCTCGCTGTCCACGCTGCGGCGGCTTGTGTCCATTCGAGACAGGAGGCCGCCTGCCCAACAGCGGCCGCTGTTGGTTTGGGACAACATTTGCTGTTGGGCATGGTACCCATGCTTTCGGTACCCATTTCGGGCGTCCAAAACAGGGCTTGGCACGTGGAGGAGTGGCCAGGGTTGACACGGGCATGTCCCTCGAATTGCATGAGGGGTAGTCAAGAATGGTAATGTGAAAGTATTGGGGCGTTGTTTCTTGCCTTTTTGACTGTGTGTTGGGCGTCGTTTGGTTACGTTGTACTTTTCTTCCGAAGTCCGCCTGTGGGAGGACATGCCCGACCGAAGGCCAGGAGGGGGGGGTCGGCATACGGGAAGGAGCTCCGAGGGAGCGCCAACATGGGCCAAGATTAGCGACGGCTCCGCCGCCAAAATCGGGCGGCATTGGCGCCATTTTTCGGGGGGGCCTTCTCCGATCCATGGCGGTGGCGCGCGTCGTTGCTTCAAAGACGGGGTCTTGATGGTTGGGGTCCTAAGCATAGGGAGGGGTCCAAGGGTGGATGTTTACACTGTTTGGGGCACCTCTTCCTTAGGGCCCCATCCCTCGGACCCCATCCCTGAACCACCGAATGGGGAGGGTCGGCAAGCTCGACATGGGCGGGGGAAGAACCTGGGCCTCCCAACACTGACCTTCCCGAGGGCGAAATGGCCTTCCAGAGCTATAGACCGACGTGGACTGCCTCAAACCTCGACTGAGATTTAGGCATCAACATTGACCTTCCCGAGTGCTAAATGGTCTTCCAGAGCTATAGAGCGACGTGGACTGCCTCAAGCCTCGACTGAGCTTTAGGCATCAAGGTCCTGGTGCTGTCTGTTGGCCTTCATGTCGAGCACTGGTCGGACGTCTTCGTTGGCTCTTGCAGGTCTGCCAGCCTCGGGGGTGCTTCCCAGCAGCTGCGCCCGGCCCAGAGAGTTCAGCGGCCGCGGGAGACCCAGGCTACGGCCCCGAGATGAGACATTCTGAGGATGGCCAGTGCAGTGAGTCAGTTCTGGGCCCCAGACGGGGTCCGAGCAGATGGGAGTAGTCTGGATGTTACTGCCACCGCATCTTGATTGCAGAACGCTTGCGCGCTGCCGCCATCGGTGTCTCGATAGCGGACTGGCGAGCCCCACTGGCGACACCGCAGGCTCGGAAACATTTTTTCCATTACGCCACACCAAAGCCCCAAAAGCAACCGAAAGACAACTGCATCACGTAAAACAACCATCGCTCACACAAGTTCTCCTGTCATGCGGCATTGGGACCATGTGGCGGCGTTCGGAGAAAACTTTCCCCAGCATGATCAGGCTCGGAAGCATGTCACCTTACGCCACACCAAAGCCCCAAGAACAACCGAAAGACAAACGAATCCTTCCGCGCCCAACCCCGTCCGTCCCAGCGGACACGTGGTCCAAACGCCCCCCCATAGAACTCTGAACGGGCTCGCGCCGGGGGGGGTGGCATGGGTTGGTCCATTCCTCTTGATTCGAATGTTATTAGGGACAGTGGGTGGAGCCTGGTATGGGCGCTTCTGCTTGGGACGTCCTCAAAAAATCTGCTTGTCCGGGCCCTGGTTTGGCCTGGTATGGCTTGGTTCGGCGGCGCAAAACGCTTGAGATATCCTCCGAAGTTGCTTGGTTGGGCCCCTGGTGTGGTCCCGGATTCGCTTGAGATGTCCTCACAATTTCCCTAGATTGGCTTGATTTGGGCCCAGTTTCGCTTGAGACGTCCTGACAATCTCCCTGGTTTGGCCTGGTTTGGGCTTGGTTTCGCTTGGGACGGTCTCGCAATTTGCCTAGTTTCGCTTTGGTTTCGCCTTGTTTGGGCCTGGTGTCGCCTGAGACGTCCTTGCAATTTGCTTGGTTTCGGCGCTGTTTCGCTTGCGACGTCCTCGCAATTTGCTTGGTTTCGCCTTGCTTTCGTCTGGTTTGGGTTCCGTTTCGCTTGAGACGTCTTCACAATTCACCCAGTTTGGCCTGGTTTGGGACTGGTGTCGCATGAGGCGTCCTCGCAATTTGCCTAGTTTTGCGTTGGTTTCGCCTGGTTTGGGCCCGGTTTCGCTTGAGACGTCCTTGCAATTTGCTTTGTTTCGGCGCGGTTTCGCTTGATGCGTCCTCGCAAATTGATTGGTTTCGCTCTGGTTTCGCCTGGTTTGGGTTTGGTTTTGCTTGAGACGTCCTCGCAATTTGCTTGGTTTCGCATGGCTTCGGCGTGGTTTCGCTTGAGACGTCCTCGCAATTCGCCTGGTTTCGCTCTGGTTTCGCCTGGTTTGGGCCAAGTTTCGAGTGACATGTCCTAACAATTTCCCTGATTTGGCTCGGTTTCGGCGCAGTTTCGCTTAAGACGTCCTCCGAATTTTGTCGGTTCCCCCTGATTTGGGCGCGGTTTCGTTTGAGACGTCCTCGCCACTTGCTTGGTTTGGGGCCATGGTTCCCGCGGTGCTCTTGCAACGTCCTGGGTTCGACCTGGCACACAGCGCCGTCGTCGTCGTCGTCGTCGCCGTCGTCAAAATCATCGTCGTCGTCGTCGTCGTGGTCGTCGTCGGCGTCGTCGTGAGGGGGCCCGCACGCTCCTAGATACATTGTTTTTTGTCACATGGTGCAGGGAAGAGCAGGCATCATTCATTGACACACGGGTGGGCGTAAGAATTCGGAGCGTTATGGCCCCTGGGTGTTGCCGATGTGTGTATGACAGCGAACTGACATTTCACACACGTCGTGGGTGCAAACACGCGAACCAGGACGGAGTGTATTGAACACACATACTGGCACACATTCTGCACTGTTTTGCGACAGTATAGGAGTATAGGAGGGGCAGTGGATGTGGACATCCGAAGCGCAGTGTGTTCGGCCACTGCATCACGTAAAACAACCATCGCTCACACAAGTTCTCCTGTCATGCGGTATTGGGACCATGTGGCGGCGTTAGGAGAAAACTTTCCCCGACATGATCAGGCTCGGAAGCATGTCACCTTACGCCACACCAAAGCCCCAAGAACAACCTAAAGACAAACGAAACCTTCCGCGCCCAACCCCGTCCGCCCCAACGGACACGTGGTCCAAACGCCCCCCCATAAAATTCTAGACGGGCTCGCGCCGGGGGGGGCATGGCTGATCCACTCCTTTGATTCGAATGTTATTAAGGACAGTGGGTGGAGGCTGGTTTGGGCGATTCTGCGTACGAAGTCCTTAAAGAATCTGCTTGTCTGGGCCCTGGTTTGGCCTGGTTTGGCTTGGTTCGGCGGCGCAGAATGCTTGAGACATCATCCGAAGTTACTTGGTTGGGCCCCTGGTTTGGCCTAGTTTGGTCCCGGATTCGCTTGAGATATCCTCGCAATTGGCCTGGTTTGGGCTCGGTTTCGCTTGAGACGTCCTCACAATCTCC